GTTGTTAGACATTGGAACAGGCTGCCCAGCGAAGTGGTGGAGTCACCATCCCTGGAAGTCTTTAAAAGACATTTAGATGTAGAGCTTAGGGATATGGTTTAGTGGGGACTGTTAGCGTTAGGTCAGAGGTTGGACTCGATGATCTTGAGGTCTCTTCCAACCTAGAAATTCTGTGATTCTGTGAAATACGTGATGTCAGGGAGGTTCAAGCAAGCACAGACTCACATGCATTTTCTGAATAAGGATTCAGAATATTATTCAGCCTATGTCAAGGCATCTGATTGTGTTTTGTTCTTCAAGACTTGTTAGCTGCAGGCAGTTTTCTGCAGGCAGCAAATGTATCACTAATTACATCCTTAAGGTAACTCCTTCTGGGTGAAAGAGCTTGGAATTCTCTATGTGAGCTCAAACACATCACAATTTTGTGTGTTGTCATATGAAAAATAGACTAATGAATGTATTCAGAATACGTAGGTAATAAAGCAGGCCAGATTAAGAAGGCTTATAAATATGTTATCTGAGTCAAAAGAAAATATCTTGTTTTGAAACAAGTTGATGATTCAAGTTATAAATTTTCTCTTGCTAAATTTAGGTTTGCCTTCAACTCAGATCAGTTCCATCTTTTCCCAAAGTAGCCCAATTTACATCTTCAGTGTTACAGGCACAACTTAGCTCTCTTTTGAATAATCTAAGCAATATCTTCTCCTTCAGCAGCTACACTCAAAGGTTTTGAATCAATTGGAGAATGACCACAAATTAAAGATGACATTGTTAAGCAGACATGCAAAGAACTGTGTCTTCTGCAAAATAGCATCCCCTGTTTTGCAGCAGTGCTCCTTGTACCATTAAGCAATGTGCTGGAAAGAATGCAAACCATTTTACAGAGCGGGCACCTGAAAAGAAAGGTACTTAGAGCACGAGGCCAGAAGAATGCATCTGGTCTGCCCTTCACATAAAAAGCAACAACTGTACTGCCCTGCCGTAATGGAAATGCGTGCCTTCAAGGTTAGTTGATAGAAGTATTCATGTAGAAAATAATGAATAAACCAAAGACACCAGAAAGTTCACGTTATCATCAAGAACCTGATCAAGAAGCAGAGTCTTTTAGCCTTAATTTTTTGGACCAACCATTATTAACTAGGAACATCACTAGCAGCAGAATAATTCAACTTACTTTGAAGGAGTACTAGCGGTGCTGTAAAGGTCTAATTGTGCATCCCCTCTGCAAGAATCAGTAAAAAGTAGCAGCTGTCTTTAAAATAACCGATAAAATCTTTCAAGTAAGATTGTGTACAACAGAAATAGTCCAAGAGAGACCTCTATGATTAAGAAGAATAAAGAACTGGATCTGAAGAGAAACGGCTAAGGGTGAGGATGAACAAGACAACACACTATGAAAATACTCCTTAACTTTATTCAGTCAAGTGATTCCTATCTCAGGAATTAAGTTTTTGAAACTTACCTGCTTTTATGATAGAAATAACAGCAAATGAAGAGAGAGTTGACCAAACTCTCGAGAGAAATGACTGGAAATGGGACATCCAGCACAGCTGCTGAACGAGGCAGAATATAACATATGAAAAGAGATATAGGCATTAAAGTGATTTCAGGTGTAGTTAAAGTCACTTGTAAAGACCTGGTGGGAAAGAAATGAAAAAAAAAAATGTTTTGTATTTAGTTTTGGGTTACAATGAAAAATGTTGCCAATAGCATGAAGGAAAATCAAAGCAAGTCTTTTAAAACAGGCTGGTTTACAGTAAGAGGGAAAGCTTAATATGAACAAAGAAAATATATTTATGCTGTATTCCTTCTTTTCTGAAGGAGTTGGTAATCTGCTTGGACTCACTTTAAAAGTGTCAAACCACAGCACCCAAGAAACTGCCTGCTATTCCTCCAGATGGTTGCTTTTAACATGACTGAACCACTCACTTTTCCATTAATTCCACACCAAAGATGCTCACCTGGCAGATGAAGATCAAAATACTATTTTGAAATGGCAGAATTTGTGAGCATCCAGGTTTTACACACCCAGTTTCTTCCTGTATCTTTCCAAAAAGAGTTCTAATTTACTGTCAAGCTAGCTGTAACTATGAATGCTCTATTACTATTACTCTGACCAAGATGAACGTTCTGGAAACAAAATCCATATAGAAGTAGAAATATTTGTCATGGTTTCTTGAAATGCCATTATTTTCAGCGAATAGCACAACAATAGACTTCAGATATAGCAACCAAAGTGTTGCTACTATGTTTCTACTGTTCACAGTGAATGGAAACATTCTACAGTATCCCCTCTTTTCATTTTCTCATCCAACAACCACTCCTCCTCTTCCTTTCCAGCGAGGAGAGTGCTGAAAAATTCTGGGTTTGTTGGTGGGTTTTTTATTTGTTTATTTATTTTTCTTCCTGATAGGGCTTTGTAATCAAAAAAGTTTGGTAGCTTTTGGTTTATTCATCTTCAGCACCAGGAAACTGCAGCACCGTTTCCTCCTTTGCTAGGACGAAGTAAAATTAACGGGGGAAGAACTACATACAGGGAAAAGTTTTCACGTGGGCTGCATTTAGGCGGATAACTGCAATAAGTGATTTTTCAGAAAGTTAAGTGCTTAGCTCACAATATGCCTAGCAGTTCAGCAAAATCCCATGAGATTGATTGATTCTCAAAAGCTGCCAAAGGCCACTCAAAATCCTATTCCAAATGATTTAGGTTCAAGTCCATTGACTTTTGAAGATATTTGGAATTCTAAATACAGCAATTACTTATACCACTGCATCACTTTGCCAGTTCTCGTACAGCTGTAAAGTTAGCCTATTTTTACTTAAATTCCCTTTGAAGATTAACAAAAAAGTATCCCTGCTAGTCAGTCAACATACTCTCCTCCTCCTCTGGCTCCTTAAAATCACCTACTAAAATATTTACTTAATTTCTGTAATAAGTAAATAAATATTATAAAGTTTCTAAAACTTTGGAGAAGTCGTAATGAAGAGTTTACTTAACATCACTAAGGAATAGCAAAGCTAGGCAAGCCATATTGACAAGACCGTCTTTTTAAAAAGTAGGCTATCCTGTTTTTGTTTTTTACCATTTCTGTTACAGTGAGAGTGACACTAAGCACTTTTTTTCAAGAACCACATACCTTGAGATTCCTTTACTCCACCTGAAAAGTTTCCAAGCACTACATAGTATTGACTCCAGCTCTGAAGTTTTCAGTATAACATCCTCAAAAAATCAGAGTTTAAACACAGCTCTTCAATAGCTAAGAGGGCATCCAGAGTAATGTAGTTTTCTACATGACATTTCTCTCACGTATTTGGATATCATACAATGAATGCCATGAAACACAATGCTTAACCCATTTGTTTTTCCAGTCATGTATCCCGTTGAGTGGATACTGTAATTAAAGCAGACACTTTTCTCACAGAGCAAGGACATCAGTGGGTGGCTGTTTTAGTATTTACAGCACCAGTTTCATACAATACTTAAACACATGGTGACCGCTGAGCATGTAAGAACTCCATTTTAATAAAACTATCCATGCTGAGTCTAAGCTCTCCTTGAACCAGTATCCATAATTACAGAACCCAGTAACTAATGACAACGCATCTGTGGCCCTTCTGCGGTTTTCTTTCCTGTCTGGTTGTATCCTGACAGGCCAACAGGCTCTGAAGAGAACCTCCAACAAGGTTCTAAGAAAAATGTTTCAATCAGCTCTTTATTTCCTCACCTGGCAGTCTACAAAGGAAAAGCAGAAATGGATGCATGCTACCCCTCTGCTAACAGAACTTTGGCTGTTCTTTGTTTTTGATAAAATAATTTCATCCTCTTGTTAGTCTTAATTACCATATCACACAGTGTAGAACAGCTAATTGCACTACACTGTCCACACGAAGACAACAAATACCTTTCAGATGCCTTATCTATCTACTTTCCTCTCCTGACTGTGCATTTCATAACAGAGCAGCAATACAAATGCATTCAACTGACCTTCATCAGATCAACCATCATTTTACACATCAACGTCATTACTGCAAAACCTTCCTCTCATCTTCTCCTAGGAGAGAATCTAATCTGACAGCCTTCTGCACGTGGTCATCTTTTATGCTGCCTGCACTGGAAAGGTCCCCAGGAAGGTACAGCTGTACAGATTGAACAAAATGTTTCATTTCATCTCCAGGGGATTCTCTTCAAACGAATGAGGCCTCTTTTCACTTTTCTAAACATTTTCTGGGTTTGACCACCAAGGCAAGACACTCAAACCAGGTTAGTTTATTTGACTCTTTTCTGAGCACATTATTTTATCTGTCCTTAACCACTTCACTAAAGAGCAGCACTAGAAGCCAAGCTCAGCCTTGAAATACAGGAAGATCAGCACAGCTGTGCAAAGCCATATCATTTATTTCATCTAATGCAATGGGTCTTCTCAAAGTGGATGGCAGAAGCAGAGAAAGACAGGCTCTGCCTGGTGTTTTAGATCCTCAGCTAATACTCAAGTAACCTGGGAACAGTTCATACCTGTAACCCCCTATGCCTTTCAAAGAGACACTTGCTTGGGATTATCTTCCCCCACTCCCTAATTCTCATGCCCACACCTTCCTGCCCCAGTCACATACCTTGGAAGCTGCAGCCACATTTTCCTACTTCTCTCTTTTCCGAAGCAAGTTTTCCACCAAACTCTCTTCTCCCCCAAGATGCCATAACTCACCCAGCAGCATGATCTTTAGAAGCTTACCTAGATTCTGGAAAAACAGTAACCTGATGATGCAGAGAGGCTGCATCCCTCTAGCATGCACGTGCAGGTGCTTCTGCATTTTTGAATTTAGTTGACCCTCTTCATATATAAGCAGAATACCTCAGGGAGAGAAGCCAAAGGATGTCTGTGACCACCACTGCCCAGGTGAAAATGTAGAACTAAACAATCAGATTAATAAGATCACAGTTTGCAAGTAATTAGGAATTTACTGTTCTAGCGCCACACCTGGCTGCTTTTTACATGTCCTACCTGTTTGTGCCACCAAGTGGGTCCAACCACTCCAAACTGCTCCAATCTTTTCATGTGAGAAAAACTGAGTCTCTATCTTCTTGGGCTCAACAAGGAAAATCTCTTCACTCACTAGCTGCCCATGTTTGTTGCTACCCCAGACGTAGAGGTGTCCTTCATCTACAACAGACAAAGAAGTAAAACGTGTTGAAAGTGACATACATAGACAACACCACATACGTGCTCTGCCTCAACTCAGCGATTTTGAGGAAAGGACTATGCCTTAACCACTTACACACAATTAATAATTAGAATATCAGTAACTGTAGATCACAGCAAATAATGTAACTACCCTCCAGTACCTGGAAAGCTCTGACAGTCTCCTTAGAGGAGCTGCAGGCTCCCAGCTCTTCTTGTAGCTCTCCTGCTGCCTTCAGCTTCAGCAAATTCACTAACTCCCCCAAAGCAGGGACAGTCTAATGCTCCTTGCCCCACCTTGCTCAGTCATTTCCTAAGGGAACATGGCACTGCTAAGAAAATATAATCAAAGCAGATACTACCCATCAAAGCAAAATCAAAATATCATGACTCAAGGCACTGCTACACAACTCCTGAGACTTCTGTAAGCAATCACTTTTCTTCCCCATCCTCTTTGCAGAAGCATTTGTGCAAGTACCACTCCAGGATTCCACCCACAGGGATAATTATATTTACAGAAACATCCACACTGCTTTGTGTGGTTCCCCAATCTAAGTTGGAGTAACTCACAGCCTAACAGCCAATTGACAGTAACAAGAGAATTGTTCAGATAAGTCCTTCTGCAGATATCACATATCATTAGTTCAATCTTTTCAGCACAAGATCATTCAGCCCAGGTTCTAGACCTCTGTGTTATAAAACAAACCATAAGCAGCACATAAACTATGAGCTGTATCAGACCTCCTGAAGGTAGGCCCTTGTCCCCCTGCACGAGCAGAAGAGATACCTTACACACCTAGGGGACAGGCCCAGCAAGACCACAAACCATAACTGGCAGCATAAAGTTGTTCAGTGCACAAACCCACAACACTCAAGGCTTCTAGAAGTCTCTCACTAAAATTAATAAATTCCCTTTCAAGGTGAAACAAACACACCTTTTAGAAAGAAAAAGGACATGACAGAAGCAGCTTGTTTCAACAAAGAAAAACACTATGGCCATCCACAAGGCATTTTCCCCAACTAAAATACACTGTCTCCTTGCCTGTTCCTCTGCAGAAGGTGCATTTAATTGATCCTAAGAGGTGTCACATGCTCAAACCTCATCTCATTTCTTGAGTAGCATTTTAAGTTTTGTTAAAACCTCAGACTTGGCAACAACTTTCTTTTTTTTTTTTTTTTAAATGAACTGCCATTCATGTTTATAACAACCCACTTCAACAGTTACATCAAAAACCTCCTGATTACTGGTGTTTAGTATCCCACCAGCAGGCGGCTCACAAAACAGAGCCAAAGAAAATTACGTCATTGAGCATGAAATTCCTAGAAAAAAAATCCCCAGAGTGATGCTCACTTGTTAAATACTACACTCCACACTAACTTAAAAAGAACAGGCATCTTTAGAAGCTAATGCAGGATGAAGGGCAGCATACCAACACATTATTAAAAGTTCTGGCACCTACTTTGTTATATTTGGTACCCCTGTTGCCAAATAGACTGCTCTCAAATAAAAAGCAAAAGCATGAAAGAATGATCTGTTCGCTCTCTAAACATACAGAGTGTGCTAATTAGCTAAAGCAGATTCTATTTGTCCTGACAGTTCTTCACTAATTGCACACAGACTTCGAATCTCAGAATTCAGTGCAATTGACATCTAACATCTCCCCATACAACTAAATCTCTCTGCATAAGCAAATACTCCAGATCTTCATTTAATGACGGCAGAGGTACCAGATGGCTGCATATTTGCTAAGAACTTCTCCTTATGAAGTTTGGTATAGAGTTGTCTTCAATGTATTTTCCACACTTCAGAATTGCAAGATTACAGATGAAAAGATATCCGTTCCTCCTTCTCCCAGTATGCCAGAAAAAGATTCTTTATTAGACTTTCACTACCAGATATTTAACATCCAGCACAGAAGCACTGCCTAGAGATCAAAGAACAAATGGCACAAGTTATGCAAGTGCCTATGTGATCAAAGCAATTTCCTGCAGCTTTTAATAAGCCTCGTGCTCTTACACTGCCTCACACAGACAAACACACTGCCATAGTAGAACTGCCTCAGATCTCACATTCCCACACAGCACAGCCATCATTTCAGGCGGCAGAAGCAGGATAGCCACAGCAGCCTTTCCTGCCACCTAACATGCCCTTTCACACAAAGGGTTGCACTCAGGCCATCACCCACCCACCCAGTTACCTGATGCAATGTCACACTGCAGCTGCAGAAGTTTCCCAAATCCTTTCAGAGTTTCTCACCACTTAAAGCCCAGACCCTTACTTATAAGGGCTAAGTTTTACCTGACCCTTTGAAGGCAACACACAGATCTCAGAACTCAACAAATGAATCCAGGTCTTAAAAACCATAGAGTTCTCACAATCCAAAACCACTACAAAACAGCTAACCAGCACTACGCTAGATCAAATTTCACCAGCCCAGCCAAAATTGACAGAACTATCCAAAGCACAAAGCCCTTTTATAAGTTGAGATGAAGACTTGCACTTCTGTATCTAAGTCCTACCTGTAAGTGACACGGAATGATAGGAGCTTGCAGTAACTCTCTTCACTTTTACATCTTCCAGGCCTAGAGAAAAATCAGTCTTATAAAATTGGTCGAGCAGATATCACTTCATGCATAGATACAAAATACAGAGCTGTATCAAGTATAAGTAATACCATGATAACGAATTTTATAACAAAAGCTTCTGCTTTTCGGTCACAGATACTGCAAGACTCAGTATCATTTTTCCCCATAGATTATGAATTTGTATGCCCACTCTGTTTTAGATAGTCTACTAACTACATGCTTATAATACCAAGTGGCTTTATAACAAAAGGATTTTACATATTATTCAAAACTGTAAAGGTGTAAGAGCAGAAATACAAAGAAATTACATTCCTGGATTACCTGTCACTTCACAGGGTTCCTTTGCAGACAGGAACAGGGGGAGCGTTTTTCCTTGGTTAGCACGCTTTGCCCGAGATGCCATGCCAGTGCCCCACTGTAACACCAAGCCACTCTCTTCCCAGAGTAAACACAGAAAAGATTAAGACACAATAACCACTAACAAAATAACTTAACTCATTAATTAAAAGGTACATCCACTTCATTTTCACTAGTTGGAATTATACTTTAAAAGCCTGTTGTGCCAAAATCAGATGGCACCAGAGTTATCCATATGCTTAGGATATAACCAAGCTACAAACAGTTCTAGCGTCATTGTACAGCTAACAAAAAAATGCTAATTAGATACTAAGCTGAGGCCTATATTAGGAAGTTATCGAGGACTCGGTAACAGGAGTCCCTTCTCTTTGTGCTAATGCGGTTGTGCATCCAGCACCGTGAAGGAGTAAAGGAGTAAAGCCACTAGTCTTCTGCTCAAGAACTGCCAAAGACTTGACCTAGCCCTAAATCAAAATGTCTTCTAAATGCAGAGCTCAGGACAGCTAAATTCCCAAATATTCATACAAGCACCAGGAATGCCACTCTTCTTCCAGGTGTCTCCTCCACACCTTCACTCAGACTCCACTATCTGGAATCCATACTGAAGTTCATGTAAAACTAAACTGAAATAAAAGAGTGTGTGCAGTTTGTTGTTGCAATGCAATCACGCCAATTGCAAGTTTTTGAGTTCTTATTATTCCATGAACAAACTCAAAGTCTCTAAGAAGAGCAAAAGAAATATTTAAAAATTACAGCCCTCCAAAGCATACACACAGGAGACAACAGAAGAAAGTCAGAGGAGCAGATTGTCAAAGGTGCGTGAGCAAACTCTTCTCTCCCCTCAGTAAAAGAGCAGATTCATTATTTTTTTCCAGGTGTCTATTTCAATTACATCATTCAAACAGCCACATATCAGGTGCAGTATCATTTTGAAACATTTTATATAAAATTAATTCTTTTGCATATTATAATTTGAAGAATTCAATATACTATGATATTTTGATTGACCAGAAAGATTTTTTCCAGGAAAAGTCTCCTTTTATACTTTTCTTCAGAACAGGAGAAAAGAATCGCATGAGTTTTCCACCCATCACAAAAACACCTTGTTCCCAAACTTTCAGTTCTTGGAGAACAACTTTTCACCAGAGATTTCCAGGAAGATGCTTCTAGCACATTTACTGTCCACACATTATAGCTTTCTTTGTTTGTTACTGAAGTGACAATACAATGATACATTATATGTATCAGTGATATGTACAATGTACATTGATACAACGATACAAAATACATTTACCTGTAGCAGCAAGGGCATGTCTCAGTCCTGCAGCAATATCCACCACTTTCTCTTTGAGGGACTGCTCAAATATAAAAAAAAAATAGCAGTTTTCATACTTTTTGCTTATAGAAACAAAATACAACATACACATTAGTGGAACACTATGAAACTAGTTCTCACAACTCCAGCCTGCATGTCACAATGTACACCAATGTTTTGTACTACAAACGAAGTGCATTCTGGCCAACAAAAATTAGGAGAAACATCTTTAAATATATATATATATATATATATATATACACATATTATATATATATATATATCAAAGCAAATGATTGTGCTGCACTGCAGCAATAAATGAAAAGGCACAGTCAAAATCCTCATATATATAAAAAAAAAAAGGAATCCTGGCAATACAAATACATTTGTTTCTTAATTTTAACTTCACATTCCTCAACAATTACACTAAAATCTCCACAGCAAATACTAGTGACCTGCAATAAGTTCGACTATACTGCACGTGTGCATTAAACAAGTGAGTTATGTCTGCACAAAGCAAGTCAATTTCCCCAGTTCTGATTACCCTGAAAAATTATTTTTCTTCTTGTAGACCATACACTACATGGAACAGATGGCATCAAGTCCAAGAATTGAACAGGACACAAAACAAAAGAGAAAATGTTCTGGAGTAACGAATGGCTCCTGTGGTCAGGGAGGAGACAGATTTGAATTAGCACTGTCCACACCATCACTTTCAAGGCATCATACTGGAATGATGCTCCCAGGAAAAGTCAAGGATGTAGAGCATCAGGTGAGGTAACCCCTAGTCACTAGCAGACTACCAGTTGTCCTCCCTTCCTGCGTTAATCCCAGATCATCACAAAACTCAGAAACACAACAGAGTTTGGCATGAACCATGAGGCTGTTTCTTGTCTGAGCGTCCTTCATGCTCCGAGGTTATCACTTGCGTTACACGAGAGTTCATTTGGATGGAAAAGAGTTTCATTAGTGTTTCTCAAATAAGGAGCTACAGTGTAAATTAGGGATTAATTAGAACTCCTGTGAGAAATTTATTTACCCTGTTAGGCTTGCAGTCAACATCAAAAAGCCTTTCTGATATTACAGGAGTCTCAGTACCTACTAATTAAAAACATGTTGAAGCAAACAGTTTCAGGCTACATTGTGAGCTCCCTACTCACACTCAGCAGTACCACTCCTACAGTTAACACCATAAACTTCCACGAGTTACAGGAACAACATGAGCTACGCTGCCGGAGTCCAGCCTTTAGCGCTTACAGTTGGAGGTACTGGACAGCAGAGAAGTTGTTAGGTAGATTTCCATCCTATTTCCTTGGAAGCTGATACTGTTTGATAAACACGAATTGAAACAATGTAGTTTTTGGTTCCTTTACATGCAGAAGTATAAATAATCTTAGTCTCAAAGTATATAACTAAAGTATATAGTCTCAGTTTGATTTTCCTGCAGCTACATACTTTCCCATACTGATACTATTTTGGGAATCACCAAGCTTGATTTCATCTAAAGGTTTTTAAGACCAGGAAATAATACTACAGTTCTCACTGTGGGAAATAAATTTGTAGTCATAAATGTACCTGAAGAATAGCACATACTTAAAAAAAAAAACAGAACTGCACAAGAAGCAAAGAGCAATTTACCAGAAGAATTGACATCACTAATCTTGTTGAACTCTATCACACAGTTTATTTTTTCAGGGTGGATTACTGCTAGGCTATTTTGTTTTACAAGGCATCATTCAAATAGTTAAGCACAAGCCTTGAACAAGGCATGCAAAGGTATGAGTAAACTCCAGGTAGCAAAACATATCTGGCCTCTTACAAACTTGAGGCAAAACTTCAGCTGAAGTCAAGTCAGATGGTTTCATTAGCTTTAATGTCACTTCACGTCACCTGAGCATCAGACTCACTCTGCAGATGTCATCCATATGCATTAATGAATTGTTCTAATCACAAGTGAAACAGACAGCTTTCCATAACAAGTGGGTAACTTCTTCAAACAAGGGAATCAGCCTTAGCTTCTCATTTCTGAATCAATGACTATCTTTGGTCCTTTACTTTGTAAATTCATTTCATCAGATAGACTCCTTCAAAAACAGTTGAAGGGCCGGGCTTAAAGCTGACTGAGGTGTCCAGGCCTTCAGTTGCTGTAAGCAACATAACACTCAGAGAAATAAAGCACAATTCCTTTTAAATCTTTACCTCAATCTTTTGTGGAGTCAAGCATGGACCTGAAATCTGAGGAATTCCTAATTGTCCAAAAGCATTAGACCCACATGACAGAACTACGCCAGTTCCTGTAAAATAAAGTGTTAAAGTCTGATCAGCCTATAAGTGAGCAAAAACAAAGCACCATAACATTCCATCAGGCAAAAGTATCACAGTGAAACAACTCAAAAAAGACCTAGCATCTCCTATTCCAAAGCCACTGAGGACACAGGCTTCTTATTTTACACATCATGGTTAGTAAAGTAGATAACAAGGTGATACAAGAACCAGGGACTAACTTAGTTTGCAGGTAGCTTAGAATTTGTGAGTGCCATGCACTGCACAAGCAATAGCAATGTGGAACTTTCGGTGTGTTCTCTACATCACTATTTCTCCCCAGCTCCTACAGAGGCAGACTTACCTACTAATATGATTGTAAAATCCCAGCCACAGGCAACTTCTTTTACATGAAAGCCAGACAGGGCAGTGCACAAAGTGAAACGCAGTACATCTTCTGTGTGATTCAGTCCCAGCTGCCCTTCTTTGTTATGGCCACACACAAAGAGTTCTCCAGCACCTGGAATAACAAATAAAATCATGTCCACTTGACAGACTAAAAAGCAAAGTCTATATGCCATGAGATCCTGTGACAGGCAAGGACAACTGACTGTGTCATTTTAGGCACTGCATGCACACAAAAAGTCACACTCCTTCCCCCTCTCATCCTCAGTACAGGAAAATTGACAGCCTTGTATGAAAAGCTGTTGTATGAAACAGGTAAAGGAACAGTCCTCACAAATCCATTAAATAACCACGGAAAATAAACAAAACAGAGAAAATTCCCCAGAATATTGACAAGCATCAGAGGAACTTGTTTTGCAACTAAAAATTTGCAACTAAGCTCAGAAACAAAAGCCAAAGATAGGTGGCAGCACCAAATCAACAGGGAAGCACGTCTTTCTCTCAGGCTGTCGTACACTCCTTGCAAGTGCGATGTGTTTACCAGTGATAACTGCAGAATGTCCCCCTCCTCCAGTAATGCTCTTAATGTCTTCACATTTACAGGAAACATCTTTCAGTGACTGAGGTATCAGCACATCCTCTTTATGACCAACACCAAGTTGCCCATAGCTGTTTGCACCCTTCAAATACATACACAAAGAAAAAAAAAGTTCAAAAAAAATTAACAAAAAGAGATGCACTCAGCTCTGCTCCTATGAACAAACAAGGTCATCAGGAACATGTCACACGTTAACCTGCAGTATTTGCTCCTGAAAATCCCCCAAAAGGAGATCTTCAGCCCTGCAGCTGTTGCATAAGGGCCCCAAAATTACAGACCATGAATATCTTAGATCTGCTGCTATGAATGTTGCCACTGCAACCCTACTGTTGCAAGAAATATGCTGGAATAAATCACAGTGAGACTAAATGTAAGCTAATAGAGAAACAGAAAGCCTTGTAATCAGAAAGGATTACCACCTGTTTAGCTTTCATCCTAATGGTTCCTACTCATCACCAAGACGTAATTCATGCCAATAATTTCCAGCAGTACATCCCCAGAATAAGGTGAGAAAGACATGCTACCTTATTCTGGAACCTGAGCAAGGAAAGCAGAACAAACTCTTAACTCACAGTGGGCAAAATGGAAATAGAGCACGTGTTTATAAAAACAAACCAGAAGCCACTAAACCAATTCAGGTGCCCAGTCCCAAAAGGGCACCTCCAGCACCAACCATCTCGTACCCACAGATGCGCTGGGCACTTGATGCAAAAGCCAGCGGCTAACAGGTGGCTGAGATTTGGGGATCTGAGCTCCAGAGGCTGACCCAGGCGCGGTCTGGCAGCCAGACCACCACCACCACCACCACCACCTCACGCCCCCAGGCCCGCCATCTCCCCCCGGCCGCACCGCCCCCGGCACCCACCTACCCAGGCGAGCAGCACCGCGGCCATGGGGCCGGCAGCCCCGCGTCTTTCCCTTCCCTTCCCCGTTCCTTCCCGCCCCACGGCCGCCGGGGAGGAAGAGGCGGAGCGGGGGCCGGCTCCGGCGGGGCCCCGCCTCAGCCCGAGCAGCCCCGGAGCAGTTTCAGCCGTTAACGGCCGTTGGGTAACGGTCGCCGGGTACCGGCCGTTGGGTAACGGTCGCGCCTCACGCGCGCCGCCTCAGGGGGCGACCCCCTCGCCGCCCCCCGCCCCGGTCACCCCTCACAGAAAGAGGAAAAATTCCCGACGGAATGAACGCAGGGGGGCAGAAGAGCCGAATCAGAGCTTAAACACATGAAATCTTAAAATAAAGGCGTCGCTCTTTATTGACAGTTATAATTTCCAGTCACAGAATCCTCTAGGTTGAAAGAGAGCTCCAAGATCACCCAGTCCAACCCCTGACCTAACACTAACCAGTCCTCCACTAAACCACATCACCGAGCTCTACATCTAAATGTATTCTAAAGACCTCCATGGATGGTGGCTCCACCACTTCCCTGGGCAGCCTATTCCAATGCCTAACAAGAGTTAAAAATACACTATTTAAAAATACTTAAATTGTTACTGCTCTATGCATAGGCAGAAAGGTTGGGTATGCGAAGCCAAACATAGATGTCAACCCTGTGAAAATGCATCCTCAATTACTTTTAGCAGTACTTACACTTTTTGTTACACGGGTGCAAATAAAGACATAACTGCTGTCTTTTCCCAAAATATTTGAAGTCAGGTGCTAATTTAGGAGATGTAAGGTTTTCTACTCAATGAATACGTAATTCAGGCAAAGTCTTGTAGTAACACAGATCTATATTTCAACAACATAATAATCCAATCATTTCTTAAAATGCAGCTGAGTTATCACAGAAGCAGACAGCACATCCTCACTGCTCAAAGACTGCTTCTTCTTCAGGAAGAGGCAGCACCTAAAATCTATTTGAAGGTGTGACATCAACTGTAAATGTTGTAGACCACAATTCTATATGTCCAAAATATTCTTCAAAAAAATAAATAGTGGATTAAGAAAGTCACAGGAAAATTACATCAAGTCTAGATAAACAGTGAACGTGTTCGGAAAGATAGGGCCAGTGACTGCTTATGGCGCAGACGCAGCCTACCAGAAGGCATATGAAACAGTCATTATCAAGCACAGAGGTTCTCGAAAGCCCTTTCCAATTCCCAAAAGATTTGGGCCAACATCTCCAGTGCATTTGCAATTTCAGTCAATTTTGCCAGCGACATCCACAGGTGCAAACTGTGGCTGAGCTGTCAATGGGATATTTATTCTTATAAAAAAAAGACATGAGCTTTAGCCATATCTAAGAACTTAAACACCAGGGTTTAAAATGAGAGCCATTTTAGAACTGGGCTTCACTTTGTCCTGTGAAGCCATTTTGAACATCAAATTGTAATTTGGAAATGGTTTTAGGCATTGCAATAAGTCACTGCGGGATGGCTTGCTATAATCTTGGCTAAATTTATTCAGTGAGGAAAAAGGCAAATGATTTTTCTTTAGTGTCTTCCCTCAGGTGCAATACCAGGGACAGAAACAAAAATCCTGACTCTGAGCTGACAGCAAATCACTTGAAATAAGCAGAATTAGGATTTCATGCAACAGCTCTTTGTCTCTGCCTTCTACTAGAAAGATGCTAATCAGTACAGTTGCAATTTTTTAGGGGAAAAGATGATCTCTTTGAAAATGGAGATTTGACCCCTCCTTTTTATCTTAATGAGCTTCCAGCTATTTGTGTACTGATGCCTGGATCCTAATCGGTCGAGTTTTAAACTTAATAGCACAGGCATAGAAGCACTGATTACTATAACTTCTGTGCTATAGCGTCTACAGCACTGTAAAATTAGCAGCATAGACTACTAGAGTCAGACAGACATTTTCCTGTACCAAATTATTCTGTGACTGCCTCATAAGCCACCCTCTGAAGCATCTGCTCCCAGCCCTGATCCACAGACCACAGCAGTGGTCCAGTCTGGTGATTTCTCTAGTCCTCTGCTAGTTTCTGGAAAGGAACTCTAGGACTTTTTTTATCCAGGGAGGATAGAGGTGGAGGAAATGCATTCTGTAAGTGACTTTAAACAGAGAAACAAATAAAGTGATTATCCATATGGGCCATTCACTCTTCCACTTGTAAAGGCAAGTTCTGCATACAGCAGGTTACATGCCTAGAAAGAAATCAGCGGGGAAAAGAATTGAGTTGCTGAGCACACCACACTGATGATGGGAATGTTTAACTTCCAGTTGTTTGCCCATCTTGCTGAGGGCATCGATGACAACATCCAGCTCATGCCGTAGCTCATTCACCATGCTGGCAATGCTCTTGGTGTCTTTCAGGATCTGCACACTTTGAGTATATGGATTGTACTGCATGCCAAATGGGTGCTTGATAGTTTTTGCAAACTCTCTATTCAAGCAAAAAAAGAGAGGGAGTTTAAACAGAAGACAAATGCATCCTCTGTGTGCAATCCGTATCAATAACCACTTTTCTAAACCACTTTCATGATAGTTATAATTACTACATAGTTCATCATCTCCTCCATCAAGTACATGGGAGACCAAGCAAATATTAAATTCAGCTTTCCAGCCCCAGGAAAGTTAAGTATTAAAACTGTACTAAGAATGAAAAGATTTGATCCTGCTGCTAAGAGATGCACGAAGTCAAACCTGCTTCTACAAAACAGGGAAGAAAAACTGGACCTCATCTTTTCTTTTGCTTCTTCAAAACTTTCAGAAACAAAGTAAACCTCCTGGAAAGTTGTAATGAGACATTCTTGCTTGCAGGTGACCTTTGGATGAAAAGGCTTGACTTTGGCACTGCCAGAGAGCAAGTGCTGGGTAACATAATGTGTTATCGTGTCAGAGGAACATCACCACTAAAAGAATCCACAGTGAAGACGACAAGAAGCAAAAAGCGAATTAAAAAAAAAGATGATGTGAGGCCATACTTAGTGCATTGCTTCTTAAAACATGTCTGCAGATGAACAGTGGTTTAAGCTTAACGAACTGAATAACTCTGAAGGGTCATATTTCACCAATAAGGATCTAAAATGGGGTTCTTCAAACACAAGACTGCTTTATAAACAAGAGCAATATTTTCAGAATCTGGTTAAGCCAGCAGAGTCTTAATCTCAAAATAGGTTACTTGGAACCTAAGGTTAAGAAATACCAGTCATACGATGCTTTCTGAGAACACAGGAGCTGCTCAGCATGCACCCAAAAGGACACTGCCCTGTAACTAGTGCCACACTGAATTCATCTAAAAAAATCATCCCTACAGTAAGTACTGAGGAATTGGTTGTGTTTTGTTTTGTTTTTTTTCAAAAGTATTTTTAGAATTATACCTCATAAAAATGGCAGAACAGTGACAATAATAATCAGTTATGAGCAAAGAAAGGAGGGAAATAAGCAGTGGATGTTCTTACCTTGAGCCCACTAATTGAAGAAAGCAAGCTAGCCCCATAAACTCTTAGCTGTCCCTCTTGCTTGCACAACCCAAACTCTACAGGGAAGAAGTAGCATTGAAACAGAAGGGAGTAAAATAATTCAGCCATCCGCAAAGATGCTGTGGTGAGCTAGGTGGGGGCATTTCTATTTGCAGGTGGTGTCAAACAGTTTCAGATGTCATACAGTCGTTGCTTGGTTATCGCTCTCACATATTGAAAGAGGCAGGAACCTGAATGGAAGGGTGAAGAACCACAGGACTGCACACTTCTAATAAGCAAGTCTGATAATATAGTTCACCCAGGTAAGCTGGAAGCTGTTAATCCCAGTAGGATCACAGAAATTTAAATCTGTTTTGAGAAATATTGTCATGACATGACAGGTTCAGCTTAAAAGAAACACTGGACATAGAGGGCCTTGGTGAATGACAGCCATTACAGCTTGTTCCTCATTTGCTTAGTGTTTAAAAAAAATAAATAAATGTTTAGTTCACTGGATTTCACGATTCCTGCAGGTATATGGCAAGGAATGGTATTTTCTTAGATTCTGCTCCCAACGAAGACAGCAAAAATTTTACCACTAGCTACAATTGGCAGGCGGGAGGAGGTGGTCTTTTCATAAGTTGCATCAATTATTTTTTTGTGTGAAATTGTCATCTCATAATATTTCAACCAAAGCATCTAGAAACTGATATCTGTAAGTAAGATTAATTTACATTATTTGAGTTTATTGGCTAAAAAAAAAATATATATATATATTATATATATATATATATATTGTGGATATATATATATCCACAAGACGGATGGTGAAACCTGCGCGCTCTAAAAAGGAACAGAGAAACTGTAGGTTAGTTTAATGTAGAACTTCATAATATTCTCATCCCTGCTGTAACTGGGGCAAATGCCACAGTGCTACTTTGGCTCAAGAGCATGTGGGAAAATTAGACCTAAACTCAAGAATGGCCAACGTGTAATAAAAATGTCCCTACCCCTCTATAGTATTTATTCAGATTTTATGCCTACAGCCAACACAATACATTTAGGTATTGCTTTTAGCAATCCTGACTTCCTTTTTTGTTTAAGAAAATTAATACATTACCTTTCAGGAAGAGGGACACATCTTCCAGCTGGGGAATATTGTTCTCCCTGTACCCACAGTATTTGAGCAAGGGCAAGTGTTTAAGGTACTCTCTGCAGGCATGAGCTGGGTAAAACTTGTTAAGCTCTTGGTATACTGTCCCCCAGGTCTTGACCTCCTCCTCTGTGAATTCAATCTTGGGAACTGGATCACCACTAAAAGGAGAAGAGGACAAAAGGACACACCTTGATAAAAGGTTTGTAAAGATGAATCATTTTCTTACTATTATTGTTTAACATTCATATGGCTGTGACACTTGGTCAGGTTTAAGACCACTACACCACAAAATATACAGTGATATCTGGTCTACATGCTGGAAAGCTTTCAGGCTAAGGGGCTTGCTCTCTTTCCCACCCAAATCAACTGATAGGATTCTTCACATTGACCTCACTGGGACCTAAAAGCTTTGGTCTTGTAAATAGTTTCTTCGATGCTTTAGCACCAGGAATAACATTTAAAATAATGGGACCTTCTGCTGCCAGCTAGGTAACCAGCACAGCAGGTGCTTTCCCAAGGGAAACTTGACAACACACCAACAGTAACCACCTGTGTGCTGCTGGCCAGCTGCATTAATGCACGCTTCAGCAGAGCTCTAGACACCCTGTGTTTCTGGGTCATTCCCAGTTGAGGAACTTGCCATCTAAATTCACACGTGCAATGCGGGCACAGCAGAACTGGAACAGCCAGCTCATTGCAGTTTGTGAATGGGATCCATTTTGGAGTTCAGATCTTTCAATTTTCCTTTTCACAAAGAAAACACAGTATTTACTCACTACATGGCTCAGGTCTACAACAGACATCTCACTGGTTGCTCACCACAGCCAGTGCCTGCCACCTGAAAGGGCAGAACCACAGAGCATGAACTGACTCGACCACAGCTTGCCTCCAGCAGACTGGAGCCTGCTCTGCCCCCCTCCATGCAGGGCTGGTTTCCAGCTCCTTTGAAAGCACAGCATGTTTGTTAGGAGAACCATTTAAAAGGTTTCACCCAAAAGCTGGGTCTTCATGGTTTCAAGGTGGCACAGGGATTACTTCTGGCCAGGTCCTGATACTTCTCCATCTCTTAACAAGGGTAGTCGAAAAGCCACTCTGGTCACTGAAGAACCACCCTGTTAGCACTGTTTCTACTACCTTATCACTTAAAAACCTCCAGAGCTATCCAATTCTTTCACATCACGGGCAAACATGAAGCAAAAATGTCAAATGCTTAAATAAGGCTGCTGATAAGAGAAGCACCTGAATGTTTGTTAACCTCAGCCTATTGGCCCAATTAGTATAACAGCGGCATAGTTTGCATTCAAAGTGAGGTGGAAAAAGTTATCAGAGAAAGCTTTGTACTTGCTAATGATGTAAGTAAGCACAGCTCAGGAGGCGATTCAGCGGGCTTTGATCCACTCAGAAAATAGAAGGAGAGCTCTTCAGGCACTTCTGATGGCACAGCCTTACCATGAGTGTGCTCCAGTATCATCTACTGTGTTCATTTTCATCTAGGATGTTTACCTGACATTAAATTTGTTGAAAGTAAGAAGCAGGAAGACTAATCAATATTTTTCACACATCTTAAGCACAGGAAGGCCAACAAAAGCCAAGAACGGATGCTAAGGTCCAAGCAATCAGAAGAGGTTGTTCCAGCAGGTGTGTGTATTCTCTTCAGCTCCTTGCTGAAAACAGACAGCCTTTCTGAAACTGAGTGTGGCCAGATTTTTCTTTCCTTGCCATTTTCTTTTTGTCTGTATTAATGGTCCATTCACGTTTCAAAGCAAAATGAGCTTGAAGGTTTGTCCTCAGCACTTTAGACCCCTCTCAATGCTCCTGTTCACACAGCAGAACAAACCATGGAGGGCAGCTTCTGTCTGAACACTACCGCTGACCACTGGTCAGCGTGAACAAAGGAAATTAAATCACAGTTACCATCTGCATTAAGGATGAAAACCAGCAATGTAAAACCATCAATTCACTGTAGGGACTTCAAACACTGGCAATTGTAAGACGTTCAGCCTCAGAGCTGTAAAACAGATCATCATTTCCAAGATCAGCACGAGCTCTTCATTGTGCTGTGTTCTCATGACAGCTGTTTTTTCCATCTCAGTTTCTTTTATCTTGTTAGATTTTAGCTCCCATTAGAGTTAGGATAATTTTGCAATGGGTCAAAATTAATTAGTTTGCATCAAAGAAAGGCTCTGTGAAAATGTACCACTAATGAGCTTCATCTGTCTGATTAGAGAGTCTTGCTTTTGGTAACACTTGGCACAAATTTTTGCTTCAGAGAAATACAGCATAAGAATATTCAAGGATGAAAGCATTAGCTAAATAGCAACCAAAATAATGGATAAAAGATCAGGGTGGTAAACTGTGAGCAGGCATGTAGCTGTGAGCATTGACAAGAGGATGCCAGTGTAGACCAGAACAGGATAAAGAAGGTTTAACAAAGATGTGTTTGTGCAAGCAGAGCTTGGTGAAATTCAAGTAGTATATTTAGTGAACTGACAAACACTAAATCTCTCTCCTATTCACATCACCTTTAGCAATTAAATGGAAGAGAGCTAGCAAAAAGAGCACTAATTTTCAGAGTGAAAAGATGGGGAAAAAAAGTTTGTTTTAGATGAGTCAAACTAGTTTTTAATATCTGGCAAGTTCCCTGGGAAAGCATTTGCTGTTTTTTAAGTCTGCTTTTTAGTCAAGAACAAGTTGTGTTTAACCATCTTTGCTTTCAACTCAATGGGAGAATTGCTCCAGACAACAAAAGGCATTAGATAGAGTTGGTATTTCTTGCCTTTATTGAGCTTTTTCACCCCACCTACTTTCTCCTACCCTATTAATACAGACAAAGGTACAAATAAGAAGGTACAGTCCAGAATGAATTTCCAGAAGGCCCCCATTTGGGCAAGGCTGTGTTTTTATGTGGTGCTCTCCATTTGTGGCCAGACACAGAAACTACTTTAAGTGTGTGATTGTGCTCTCAAAAAACAGACAGGCAGAGAGCTGACCAGTACAACTGAACAGGCTGTCACTCCTGGCTGGCAGGAAAACACTGAATCCCAATGGGCTGCTGAACCATGTCGCGAGACACTGAGAGGTTACACAGCTTATGGTGGTTAAATAGAAAAAGCCTTTGGAGCAGCAAAGAACTTAATTCAAACCCTTTTATCTCTTTCCTCTGTTTTGTCAAAACTTCAGATCAAACATTGCCACGTTTTGTCAAAATGATCTTGACCTGTCACTGGCAATACTAAAGTCTTGACAGTTTTACCCTTTTGCCAACCTAACATTGTGATTTACATTCAAGGAACGCACTGCAAACATCCTTGTAACCTCCTCCTCTGATCCCATTAACATGCTGCACCTGTGCATAATGTTTCTCCTGCTACAAGTCAAAAAACATAAAAATAGGTTGTACTTGTTATTCATACATGTAAGCTTGCTATTTTCTCTCAGAAGCAGCAAAAGGGACCAGAGCATGTGTGGGAAGGAAAAAGCTTTGTTTAATGTAACTACATTTACTATTAAGTCTGAGTAAACTCAGGAATCAGCAGAGCAACTCGTTAGTTCAATCATGAAAGTAGTTCCTTTCCCTGGAAGGGCACCCACATCACACCATGTCGCATTCAGCAGACCCTTCCAAAAAGTGCTCTCAAACTTTACACCATGGGCCAGAAGGAAAAAAATAATGAGTCTGCCACACACGGTGTGCTGCAGTATTAAGTACTCTTCTGATGCAGAAGAGCGGTGTAGCTCTGTGGTTATTTGCCAACACAACTGTTCAGTCTGTTGCTTTGGGTGAGAACGTCAACATTTTCACTCTTACCAAAGTTTCGTTTCAGAGGGGTGGTGGTACCTACAACAGAGCAACTGGCACATGCTTAGGTCTAGCAAAAGCCCAAGTCACAGCACCAAGGCTGTTGGAATTTAAGAAGCATTTGGACTGTGCTCTTAGTCATACAGTCTGAATTTTTGGGTAGACCTGCATGGAGCCAGGATTTGGACTTAATAGTCCAAATCCCACGTTCTAGGAACACAAATCCTTTCCAGCCACCATTAAGTGATGTATTACTGACATTTCTCTATTGCCAAGACACTCAAAGTATGCTACAGCCTTAGCCATGATAGTTATAAGTCCCATTCCTATTTTTCAGAGGTTGCCTATCCAAATTCCATTAAAGGAAAATAGTAGCTGCTGCACCACCTGAAATACATAGAGATTAACGTAACTGCCAACAAACCTTTTTGTTTTGGCTTCTTTTGAGACCATCACAATCATTTCCACTCCTTTCAACAAGTAGATTACCACAAAACAAACAAACAAAAAACCTGTAGAGCTAGAAGACATCCCCTCCTCTAGACATATCCATATTCTAAGCACATAATCTCACTGTCTAATTTTCTTAAGTGTACCCAAGCAGCATAAGGCACCAATTCAGGACTTCATTCCTTCTTAAAGCTTAACAAACAAACTGCCCAACGACACCAATGTACCTTAAGCCAGAACAGTCCCCTCTAAAATAACCACAATAAAATACACCAAATTAACAAAGTCTGATGGAGCTTGCTTCTATATATAGGAGGCTGACGCGCTCCACCCAAAATGCTGCATCCAATAGTTGTATCACGGTGATGGAAGCTCACCTGCTTGACTGACTGCTGAAAGGAAAGGGAAAGCTGGTAACAGAGGCTGTAATTAGAGAGAAGAAGGTATTAGAATCAGCTGGAAGCTCTGGTAGGTGGTAGCTCCCCACCTGAGCTCATGCTCCTAAAGTAGTTGTTACTTGTTTTGTTCTAAATCTTACTTTTTCACTGTTCTAAGAAGAGTTATTTTCAGATCAGAAACAGCCACTGGTGCTGCAGTGTAGAAAAACAGATGCTGTTATCTACAGGTGGGGTGTGTTTTTGATTGTATTGTAGTTTTGAACACACAATAAAACTAAAACTAAAAATTAATTTAAAAAAAAAAAAAACAAAAAAAAAAACAACACAGGGAGAACGGCTGTGGCATGGTCCTGGGTTCAGGCTTGGGTCACTGTGAATGACTTAGGGAAGCCACTGAAGTGTTGCAATCAATCATAACTTGTCACATAAGGCACACCCATCAAATGTTGAATGCCCCACCGTTGAAAAAAAGTGGGTTGTTTGGGCCACATGTCCTGGCCCATTACCTGTTTTAATTGTTTTGGGGATTTCTAATGTCACAAAAGCTGACAGAAAATGTTTACACACAACCTTTGCCTTTTCTCCTGCATGAACAGATGCAAAAATGCAATCAGAAAAGGTATCAATTGAAGCATAAACATAGCAAAGGTTTCTGAATTCTGGCAAATGTGTAACACAAAAAACAGTCCTTTAAGTCTGTTACTACTAATGTCCGTGACTGGGGGAGCATAGTTGGAGATGGTAATCCTGGTTGAAGTGTCCCCCTATCTTACAAGACTTCATTAATTTCTCTCAGATCATGTAGCAGCCTCCCTTTTCCATTCCTTTTCTCGATTACCAACACCGGAGAGTTCCAGGGCTAGCTGTGGGAATATATGTCTCGCTTTAAGTTGTTGAGCAACTCGGCCTTCAGGCCCTATGTATCCTATTCCTCCTGGATCAAAGGGGAACGGATCCATCTCCTTCTCAGGTCCTATAGGGCCTGGACCAAAAGGCACATCCAGGCCACCAGGGGGTGTAACAGCAAAGGCCTGCGATGGCTGTAGCGGTGGCGGGGCTGATGGTGTAGCAGAAGGATCAGTGGACAACCCCACAACTCCCTCACTGTCTGGCAAACCACACGTTTCTGATTGTGGTCCCACACGGCTCTTTAAGGCCTCAGAGACTGCTCACCAGGTGCCGAGCAACCCCGCCACATCCTTGTTGTTTTTAGTAGCAGAGTCCCACACCTTAACCTCAATTTGGTCCCATGTTTCAGGGTTGTAAACTGTCTGATTCATAATAAAGGGAATAAACTGGAAGGTTACCAGGACATTTTTTGTTTCTAAGGACATATGATTCCCCACAGTGTGCATCTGCTTACCTTTGGCCCATGAGGGGCAGTTGTGTGTACGGGTCTGCTTCTCTCAGCATCAGCTTCCTCTCAGTGACTTTCAGTAGGAGCTCCTCTGAGCAGTTTGCTGAGTTTGGCTGAACCCATCTTCATGAGGCAGGCGATCAGTGTTCCTGTTCCTGTCCTGGTCCCTGTTCTGCTAGCCTGTCCCTGTTCAATCCCTTTTTTTTTTTGTTTGTTTGTTTGAGTCCCTGTTCAGTGTCTTCTTGTCCCTGTTCCTTTTCTTCATGCTCCTGTTCGGGCACCATTTGTGGCGTAGTGACCACACAGACAGCAGGGTTCTTTTAGGATCAGTAACTGCTACTACTTCATTGATAACTTCTACTTTTACAATTTCCTCTTACTGAGGACAGGCCCTTCTTATACCATCCGCCCCACAGCAGTCCTTTTCCACTCGTTATTCGTTGGCCAACAACTTCACCCAGCAGCAGCAAACACCCAGCAACTTCCGTGCCTTAACAGCAACCCGAGGCAGCAAGGCGTCTCCTGAATCACCCTTCTTGGTTCCTTCCTAGACTCTTTACATTCCTCATGGCCTCATAGTTATGAGTCCTGATGTTATCACCAACCATGGGTCTTGTCGACCCCCATGGCCACAGTCCCACACTGAGGAAGGGGGCTCTGTGTGACACCGACTCAAGTCGTTGATGTATTTCAGGAGCAGAGCTGTTACAGTGTGGCCCTGAGCCTCCCTCCTTTTTGGCAGCCCATGTAATGGAGCACTGATTTATGTTTTGGTAGTGATTCCTCTGCTTTTGAAGTCAGGTAAGGAAAGCAGGTATTAACAAAGAATTTTAAACGAGTGGAGATGTATTTGTTCTCTGGTCTTCCGTAGTCAGTACTGAAGTAGGGCAGGAGACTGAATGTATTTTTCTTTCAGTCTTCTTACAAGTTACATAAAATACAAACATTCTAAAAACAAGTCTGTGTCTGTGTGACATGGGCATGTTTTTATTTTAATAAGTGGTTTTGAACCCTATGGCATGGCCTTGGACTTGTATTTTCTTTTAATGTGACTTCAGTGTCTGTCACAAAATTGATGCTCCTGTCCAAGGCTCTGTTGAGGAATAATGATGCTTAGTCTCTCAGTCTCTTTCTTCTTTTTCTTTTTGGTAGCAATCTGAAGCCCATAGATACTAAAGGAGTTGGTAATGCTGCTTTGGCACTAAATACAAGTTTGACCTAGTGGATATGAAGAAAGTAAGAAGTAATTCCTGTTCCCCCAGCAACACTCGCTAGCTGTTGTTTATCTTTCTTGCCCCCTTTCCCTGATTTCTTGCCCTGCTCTTGCTGCTTGCCCTGCTCTTGCTCCTTGCCCTGCTCTAATTGTTTCTTTATTGGTATTTTGCAACGCAGACCAGGGTCTGTGAGTGTGACAAAGTCCAGCCGCAGACACGAAGCCGATCAGCACCGCCTCTGCCTGGGTGACTGGCGTTGCGACACGGTACCTGCAATCTTGGTGCGGCCTCAATGGGCTTTGGCTAGGGCCGTGCCTATCGCACCCCGGGGGGAGGATGCTTCTCGGGGGAGGCCGGCCCAGGGGCTGGCACTGGGGGCCGGGCTGTGGGCAGGGCAGAGCCGAGCCGAGCCGTGCCAGCAGCCCGAGAGCGGCGGGGAGCTGCTGCCATGGAGGCGCTGGCGGTAAGGGGCCGGCAGGCGCGGTGCTGAGGGGATGGGGGGACGCGTGTGGGGTCGCTCCCTGAGCTCCTCTCCTTCTCCCCGCAGGAGGCTCCGGTGGCCGTGGCCGTGGCCGTGGTGGCTGCCTCGGCCCTGCTGCTGCTGCTGCTGCGGGGGGCGAGCCGGGGGCCGAGCCGCCCCCGCACCCTGCGGGACCCGCAGGCCAAGTACCCGCTGCCGCTGCTGGGCAAGGAGGTGAGCGGCGGGGCTGGGGAGTCTGAGCTGCTGGGGGGCCCAGGGCAGAGCCCCTGGAAACGTTCGTGGCCTTGGGGCTGCTCCAGCAGGGCGAGCTCCTGGCTTGGTGTAGGGAAACCCTCCTGCAGCACGCTGCTACCTGCCCCAGCCTGCCGGAGCCGTGCTCCCCTTTACGTAAGGATGCCGTGAGGATTGCGCAGTCAGGCAAAAGTGGCTCCTTGCGGAATTAAAAGGGGAAAAAAGCCTCCGGTTCTGACACTTCTCAGCTGTTTGAAGGCCATTTCCAATGCCCTTTGCGCTGCCCTGCTTGGCACTCGGCTTGCACGCTAAGGGCAGGGGGACCGAGGCACAGCGTGGGGAGCGGGGTTTGAGATTCACAGCAGGGCTGATGCTGACCTCGTCCTGATTTTCCTTTCTTAATGATATTTTTTTAATAGGAAGTCAGCCATGATACCAAGAAATTCCGGTTCGGGCTACCTTCACCAGATCATGTATTAGGACTGCCTGTAGGTAAATATCAAAAACATGTAGTTACGTGCTACTTCTGATTTTTAGGATTTTTACGAGTTTTAAGTGTGTACTCATAGCTCTTGGATTTCTGCTTGTGAATGTAGTGCTCATCAAAGGAAGGAGTTAAAAGCTGCATCTGAAAGGAGCTGTGTCAGAGAGAAATGTGAGGCTGATTTCCCAGAGAGTCCTGTTTCAGATGTTGTGTGTTCTTTGTGCTGCTTGTATCAAATTGTGTGGTGTGGCTTAGAGGCAAACAGTGAAACTGAACTGGGTCTGAGGAAATTAACCACTGTAGGCAGAAAATACACCTGTGAAAATTTTTTTTTAATACTACTTTTTTTTGTGTTCTACATTTTCTCTCTGGTGTCCTCAGTTTGTCACCTGCCCTCATATTTTATTTTATTTTTATTTTTGACAAATATGATAATATGCTCATAGATGAGGAATAGAAAAGCCTGGAAAGCTTGTAACTATTGTATGCAAAGCCAAGGGGAAAATACACCTCCTGTATATATGGAAGGTGTTGCAATGTTCAGAGCCGTTTCTGTGCATGCACTTAACTGTGATTTACCTCCACATGTGTGTACAACTTTGGCTTGCTTTCTGTGGTAGGAGATTAATTTCAGACTAGGACTGGCACTGTCTTCTCTCCTGTACCCTGCAAAACTGATGGCATTGAACCTTGGACCCTTGGACCTTGAATTAATGGTAATCTGGGCAGGGGAAGGTTCCCCTCACTGGTCTGCAGATGTGGCCCTGTTTGTTTTGTTCTGTGTTTGGCAGCTTCCCTTGAGTCAAGGTCTTACCAGTTGTGTGCTGTGAGCATGTTCTTCCTGCATGCTGCCTGCCAAGGGTAGCAGCTTCTTCAGGTTCGCTACAGGCTTCTATCAGAAAATGTAATTCAACTATCTGCAGTAACTAGCCAAATGGTAAATGAATTGGAACGTGTTCTGTAATGTTTGTGTTTATTCAGAGTTTTTAAGATTTTAAATGTTTAAAAAATTATTTATTTATTTATTTATTTATTTTAAAGAACTTTAATAAATTCTTAAGAATTTAAGAATACGATTCTGGAACTGTATGTACCTGATTACTCCCTGGGAGATTCCTGCCTTCTGCTTTTTACCAGGATCATTTTACTAAAAGTGAAGTATT